CGTGGCGACACTGAGTCGGAGCTCCAAAACGATGCCGATGAGGACCGCGGCGACGCATGGTCCCCGCCGGCCGAGGCGGTCGCACCGCCGCGCCGCAGCTCCCCTGTCTTCCTCTCGAGGTTGTCGCGGGGCTCGCAGGAAGGTGGAGGGAGGGAGGGGGAGAGAGGAGCGAGGAGCGAGGAGTAGTAGGATGATGATTTGTACCGAGGGCCCCACTGAACTCAGGAGGAGGAGGAGGAGGAGGAGGAGGAGGAGGAGGAGGAAGAGGACGAGGAGGAGGAGGAGGATTCTTCAACATGAACCGTACCCTGGAGAAGCGAGATTGGTGAGGGGACTATCGAGGGCTCGAGTCTACGGGTAGAACAGCCTGCAGGGTCAGCGACAGGAGGAGAAAGGGAGGGAGGAGGACATGTGGGTGTGCCGAAATCGGCGCGATGGCGGCCGCGCGGTCGCGCGCGACCACTAAAATCGTAAGTGAAGCTCCCTATGGGGCCACAGCATGCGAGTGGTGTGCAGAGTTGAGCATGCGGAGAGCAGAGGCAGGGAGAGGAGGGTGAGGAGATGAGCGGATTCAAAGCGAGGACCAGCTCACACAGGACGGCTGGGGAAAATACGAAAGCGGCCAAAGGCCTCGATCTTTGATCCTCGATCTTCCTCCTCCTCCTCCTCCTCCTCCCATCTCTCCACCATGGGCGCCGGTCTCTTTGAGATGAAGAGTCGGCCCAGCCCCTGGCAGCCGGGCCCAGCGCGGATCCCGCAACGGGCCCAGCGCTCAGGCTTCCGAAGTGCAGCTTTCACAACTTATCGCCCTACGTGTCGTATCATCATCTTTTTGGGGTGATCCCACTGTTGCTGGCAGTTGATTCGGCTGATTTGGGTGCGTCCCCTGGAATGTGTTCCCTTTGTTCGGGCCTCTGGAAGATTCTACGAGTGGCGGAACGCAACGATAAGTTCAGCAACCTTACTCGCAACATTGTCTGAACGCTTGAGCTTCAGCCAGGAGTCCCCTCGCTGCAGGCTTTGGCTCAGAGGTTCGACGGCGAGCGAGGCGGGGGTGTGAGAAGGAGCAGGCCTTCTCAGAAGGCGGCGGGGCTTCTCAGAAGCCTCCCGGCCCTCTGAGAAGCTTCCCGTCTCTTCGGGGGAGGCTCCGAGCACGCTTCGGAAGGCCGGGGGACTTCCCCGCCTCCTGAGGAGGCCCGCCCCTGCTCACTTCCCCCCCCCGCGGAGCTTGCCACCGATGCCGCCCCCCTCGCTGCAGGCTTTGGCTCGGCGGTGACGGCGCCGAGGCCCACACCGAGAGATGGGCGTGGGGCGCTCCGCCTGCGCGGCGCGCGGCGGCGCCGCGGCCCCTGCCGGCGCCGCCCAGGGCTCGCGCCCCGAGCAGCCCGGGTGGCCGCCGCTGCCGGACGGCCCGGTGCCGGAGCTGGCGCGGGCCTACAGCTGCGACGTCCTCCCGAAGGGGGGCCAGTCTGAGAGGAGGGAAAGGTACCCACACCTCTGCCCTTCGCCCGTTTCCCCCTCTTCGGGCCTGCCCAGAGGCCGTCGTCGCCACCGCTGTGTTCGCCTCGAAATGCCAGAACGCACCCCGGGAGAGGTCTGGGGAGTAGCAGTATGATACTTAATTTCCCAACAGTCGGGGCAGCGTCGGGCGTTGCGTCACTTGAGCAGGGACCGGCCGTGGGGCCGTCGGTGGACCTCCCGAAACGGCCACGAAGCGCGTGAGAGGTGTGCCGACATGGGCAAGACTGCGCTATGCGAGCACAGCCGCTGGGGCCCTCAGTAGAGCTTCTCATGTGGCCACGAACCGTTTGAGTGGTGCGCCGCAATGGGCGCGGTGGTGCCATGCGATCGCAGCCACTGGGGCCTTCAGTGGAGCCCCCTATGGGGTCACGAGGCGTGAGAGGGCTGTGCCGAAATGGGCACCGTGGTGACCAACGAACGCAGCCACTGGGACCTTCGGTGGATTTGTTTGAGGTCACGAAACGTGCGAGATGTGTGCCGCAATGGGCGCGGTGGTGCCATGCGAGCGCAGCCACTTGGGCCTTCGGTGGAGCTCCCTATGGGGCCACGAGGCGTGTGAGGGCTGTGCCGAAATGGGCACCGTGGTGATCAACGAACGCAGCCGCTGGGGCCTTCGGTGGATTTTTGTTATGCCACGAAACGTGCGAGGTGTGTGTGCCGCAATGGGCGCGATAGTGCCATGCGAGCGCAGCCGTTTGGGCCTTCAGTGGAGCTCTCTATGGGGCCGCGAAACGTGTGCGGGGGTGCCGACATTGGCGCGCTGGTGCCATGCAGACGCAGCCGCTGGAACCGTCGATGGAGCTCCGTATGGGGCCACGAAGCGTGCGATGGGTGTGCCGACATGGGTGTGATGGGGATACGCGAACGCAGCCGCTGGGGCGAAGGTGTGCCGACATGGGTGCGGTGACGCCATGCGAAAACAGCTACTGGGCCCTTCGGTAGAGCTCCGAATGTGGCCACGAACCGTGTGAGGGGTGCCGACATGGGCGCGTAGGTTCAATGCGAATGCAACCATTGGGGCCCTCGGTGGAGCTCCCTATGGGGCTACGAACCGTGTGAGGGGTGCGCCGAAATTGGTGCGGTGCTGCCATGCGAACGCAGCCGCTGGGGCCTTGGTTGGAGCTCCCTGCGGGGCCACGAAACGTGTGGGGGTACGGGATCGGCGGTGCAGCCGCTGGGGCCTCACATCGAGTGTTTAAGGCCGCGAAGCGCGTGAGGAGCTATATTCCGAAATGAAATGGGTGCGGTGCCATGCGAACGCAGCCGCTGGGGCCTTCGGTGGAGCTCCGAATGGGGCCACGAAACTTGTGAGGGCTGTGCCGAAATGTACGCGATAGTGGCATGGGGCCACGAAGCGTGCGAGGGGTGCGCCGCAATGGGCGCCGTGGTACCATGCGCGCGCAGCTGCTGGTGCCTCGGGTGGGGCTCCCTACGGGGCAACGAAACGTATGATGGGTGTGCCAAAATGGGCGCGGTGGTGCCATGCGAACGCTGCCATTGGGGTGTTCGGTGGAGCTGGGGTCACGAAACGTGTGAGGGGTGTGCCGAAATGGAGGGGGGGCGGCATGCAAGCCATGCCATTGGGGCCTTCGGTGGAGCTCCCCATGGGACCACGAAGCGTGCGATGGGTGTGCCGAAATGGGTGTGCTGGGGACATGCGAACGCAGCCATTGGGGCCTTCGGTGGAGCTGGGGCCACGAAGCGTGTGAGGGGTGTGCCGAAATTTGTGCGCTGGTGCCATGCGAATGCAGCCGCTGGGGCCTTCGGTGGGCTCCCTATTGGATCACGAAGCGAGTAAGGTGTGTGCCAACATGGATGTGTCCCATCAACGCAGCCTGAGGGGCTTCAGTGGTGCTCCTTATGGGCCCACGAAGCGTGTGATGGGTGTGCCGGCATGGGTGTGGTGGTGCCATGCGGACGCAGCCGCTGGGGCTTTCGGTTGGGTTCCTTCTGGGGTCACGAAAAGTGGAAAGGGTGTGCCAACATGGGGGCGCATGATGTGCCATGCGAACGCAGCCATTGGGGTGTTCGATGGAGCTACCTATGTGACCACGAAGCGTGTGAGGGATGTTCCGCAATTGGCGCGGTGGTGCCATGCGAGCGCAGCCGCTGGGGCCTTCGGTGGTTTTTTCTTGAGGTCACGAAAAGTGGGGTTTTGCCGCAATGGGCGCAGCAGCGCCATGCGAGCGCAGCCACTGGGGCCTTCGGTGGAGCTCCCTGTGGGGCCACGAAGCGTGTGAGTGGTGTGCCGAAGCGGGTGCGGTGGTGCCGTGCGAACGCAGCCATGGGAGCTTTCAGTGGTTCTTCTTGTGGGGCCACGAAGCGTGTGAGGACACCGAAACAGGGACATGCGGAGGGCAGAGGCAAGGGTGAGAGGAGGAGGAGGAGGAGGCGGCGGCGGAGGAGGAGGAGCAGGAAAAGGAACCCGAGCAGTCGACAGCAGCCTATTGAGCCCCCCAACTGGAACTTCTGGTTTACAAAGAAGCCCTAAAGGAAGGTCCCCGAGCTGCTTGGAACCGTTTGTTCCAGGAGGACCCCCAGGACCCAGTGCGTCAGCTTCTTCTTCTTTTTCTTCTTCTTCGGGGTATTGCCAGAGGTCTGGATACAACATTTCCGAGAGGCCTTCAAGTTACTACAAAACGATTTTGGGCGTGAATTTCTCGATCTAGACCTTGCACGTCCTTCTCTCTCTCTCTCCCTCCCTTTCTCTTCTTTCGGGACCACGTTGGCTTTTGCATGCGCTTGGCTGCTGTACAGATGGCAGACGCCGAGAGCCATCAAACTAGGGCTCGCACGATGCTGACCAAGTCGAATGGAGCTGCGAAAGCGAAGGCGAGGAAGCGTCTTCGTACCTTGATTTGTCGGGCACGCTTGTGAACGCCTGTTGACAGAAGGCTTCACCTCTCAGGTCTGAGAACTGGCGAACAGTTGCCACGTCCGACGATGGCATCCGTTCAGGTGGATGCTGCCGCCAAGCACCTTGAGAGTTTCGCCCCAGAAATCATGCCCTCTCCAGCTTGACATAGCCGTGTACCTTGGATTTCCAGAAGTGCCTTCAGGGATCGGCGGACTCCCTCCTTGGTCCTGACCTCCTCCCGCACTCGGCCGACAAGTGTTCCCCTCACTCCTGTGCTACTCCTGATCGTGTGAGTTGGTGGGCCCCCACGGACAATCGTATGATCATGGGCTTCAACGCGATTCTAGGCATGTGTTCGACCAGCTAGTGGACTTAGACCCCTGGACCTCAAAAGCACTGACAGCAAGCTGATTACGCCCGTGGTGCTTCTCATAGTACCCCGCCTCCTTCCTGAATGCGCATGTGGAATGCAAGGAGGGCGTGTCCAGGCAAGAAGCGCCGGCCAGAGCATCGTCGAGCTGAACGGCTACGCTCGAATCTATGCTGTTTCCCCGTTGGCGTCTTGTCTCAAGCCTATGCTTGCGAGCGGCGACTACGGAGTTGCGTTTCCGAGCCTGGCTCACGACTGGTTGTGCTTGGTACTCAAATCACGCGCACCACCGTCGCCATGTGTGTTATTGGTGTAAGCACTGTGCCGTGGAATCGCTGATCTCGCGACTGGCGCTCATCATCTGATGGTTCGTTTCTGGGTATTCGGCGGCATCGCGCAAGGATGCCCTGGCTCAGGCTCGCTGTTTGCATTCGCAGCGGGCCCATTCCTCCTGGACATGAAGATCTCGATCGGCGATCGCTCTGTCGGCACAGCTCGGGCTTGCGCATGCGATGTGAGAGCAGCACTTCGATCTATCGCGGCGTTGAACATCATGGCTCGTACCTTCAAGGTCGCCAGCATCGTGGAGGCGTTAACGCTGGAGTGCTCGAAGTGCGTGGTGGTCCCTCTCGCGGCTGAGTTCACGCCTGAGCTGGCTTCTGCGTATGCGGCCTGGGCCTCTACTCCTGTTGCCCAGTGGCGAGACCTTCTGGTCAGAGATAGCTTCAATACCTGGGTGTGCTGCTTGGCCCGAGCGTGACCCGTAAGTCTTGGCGAGAGCCGCTCGCTAAATGGGTTGCTTGTGGCGTGCTTCTCGCTCGCCAGGGTGCGCCTGCTGGGATCGCCTCATGTCAGTGCTACTCACGCGTTGCCAGTGTGCTTTCTTGTTGGTCTCAATGCCGCCCTCCTTCTGCCAGTCTTCAGCACGTCGAGAGCGTGGTTCTAGCACGCACTCTGAAGATCCCAGTATGCGTTAACTCTTGTGCTGGCCTGCTGACCATGCAATCCCGTGGTGGACCGCAATGCCAGTCCCTCACGAGTCTACGCCTTTCGATATTAACCAGAGCCGCTCAACACGCGCTGAACATTTGGCCATAGGTCCTAGGAGTGCTGGAAGTAAACGGTGGAGAGCTTGTGCCGCATGCCCCCCTTGCTCATCTCCCTGACCTCCCTCTCTACCTCTCTTTCTGGTCTCAACAGCCCTTTGTGAATTCATCTCGCATGCCCATCGCGGCTTCCCATCCGAATTCGGAACTGGTCCGATCATCTCTTCTCGTCGATCCCGCCTCCGTGTCTCTGCTGGTGTTCGCGCTGCCCTCAACCCGCTCCACCTCGCTCGCCCTGACGAGCTTGTGAATCATGAATAAAAGACGAAATTCGTCCTCTCACATTCGTTCAGAGAGTCCTTGCGTCCTGACTGCCGGGCGGATATCTTCGCTGAGCGTCTTGCGAATTGGCTCCCTCTCACTATTGTGGAAGCCCGCACGCTCCCGTGGACAGATACTCGGAATGTGCTTCACTCCTGTTCGAAGTCACGAGCTGTTGCGACATTGAATTTCTTGATGACCGGCTGGCGCACAGCGGCCAGGTACCAACATGAATCCTGTTGCTTCGCCTGTGAAGGCGGATTGAGATCCTCTTGCTCATTGTTGGTCCTGCCCGCCATTGTGGTCTCTGGCCCTTCGGTTCTCGGCTTCTCCGCCCCTCCCGGGTGTCCCGGTGTCCGTCCTGGCCCGTCGCACTCATCCAAAGGATTCTTCTGCCCATTTGATGCAGCAGCGCTGTGGTATCATAACCTGCGCTCCCGCGGCCTGCCCCCTTCATTTGCGACGGCGGAGCTGCTGGCACCAGCCATCCAGTTCCAGCTTCGGCGGCGCAACGTCGGCCGTAGACCAGCTGCGCAAGGCACGCGCGAGGAGGAGGAGGAGGAGGAGGATCAGGAGGAGGAGGAGGAGGAGGAGGAGGTTAGGGAAGAAGAACAATAGGAGGAAGGAGGGGGAGGAGGAAGGAACGAAGAACGGGGGGCGCTGTCTCTCGAAAACGAGGACCCAACACTACAGGATGGGTGGGAAAACAGTGCGGATTCAATAGCGGCCCCGCGCTGTGCATGGCCTGTCTCTGGAACGCTTAGGCCTCGTAGGCAACTTCGCGCCAGCGGCGCCGCAGAAGGGTGGGGGCGGGGGCGATGTTGAGCGGGCTTGGGCCGGGAGAAAGACCTAGATTTCCGACGAGGACTGGCTTTTCGTCACAGGTCGCTTTTGGACGGTGCCTTGAAGGCCCCCAGAGGCCGAAAACGGCCCAAAAGTTACCATCGTGATTTTTCTGCAACGAAATGACCTTGACCCCAAATGCGCAGTCTTTAGGTAGATTTCCCCAATTTGAAGTTGTGCTGGACATGCACCCCAGACGATGCAGAAAAGTAGGGCGGATATTTCCGTCTAGTTGAGACAGGGTGGACATTTGCGCAAAAGTGCGGCAGGCAGCGGCGGCGAAGCAGGGCGGCAATCGCCACCAAAGGGGCCTGAAAACTACGACACCGCCCCTTTTTTATAGCGGATCCGGGGTCGGGGCGCCACTGTCGGGCGTTGCTTAAACAAGGGGCGATACACGGGGGAGTGGGCGGGGGGGGAGAGACGCGCACCTCTCGTGCCCTCTTTGGGCCCCAGGGGGCCCTTTTGGGGCTCCTGTCGGGATTTTGGAGCCTGCTTTTTAATTATCTGCGATAACGCTCGTGAGCGGCCCCGCCGCCCGCCCCCTTTCCCCCCTCTGGTCACGCCACGATGCGCGCATTCGCGCCGCGCGTGAATCAGAACAAGTCTTCAGCAGTCCCGGACGGCGCAGTCGCGAATCGTGAAGTGACCGCCCCCCCCCCCCGCTTCAGCCACACGCAGAGGGGGGTGGAGGGAGGGGGGAGGGCTTCTTAGAAGCACCCTGCTTCTGAGAAGCCCCCCCCTTCCCTCCACCCCCTTGTGCGCACCGCCAACCGCTGGTCACGCCCGGCATGGCCGGGGGATGAAGGAGCGGCCTTGTGGGGTCTCAGTTGGCTCTCCTCCGGTCCTCAGCACGACGAAGGGCCTGGTGCGCGGCTGCTGGGGCACCTTCACCGCCGAGGCGTTCTACCGGCCCCTGCCCGGGGGCGGCGATCGTGAGGCGGTGAACGCCATCCGCCACATCTTGAGCTGGGAGGCCGGAAAGCAGCGTGCGCGCAGATGTTTTGAGGCCGGCGCGGCTCTCTGTTGCGTCGCGAAGAAATTCCCTGACTCCGGATCCGCCATAGCTTGGGCCATTTCGCAAGGAAGGGCGGGAATGCCCGCCCTTCTTTTCCAGCTCGTTTGGGGTCGATGGCCGCCTGACTGTGCCGCCGCTGTTTCCGCCATGCTTTTGCAGAAAGGTCCGCCCGACCCTTCCGAGGCGGAACTGTTCCCTCTGCTTTCTCGCATCGCTCGGAGTGCACTTCCGACACGAGTAAGAAATTCAGCCGAAGCACAGCGGATTCAGAGTCCGGGGGGAGTTGCCAGGCGACCGCACACATGGATCAAGGGGAAACAAAGGGGCGTGGATCAGCGAGGGGCCCCGCTTTGCATGGGAACTCGCGGATTTCCGCCGCTCAACGGGGCGGCACCGGCCGCATTTTGGGGAGGGCGCCTC